CCAATGTCATAAAACAACACGTGTACTACTGTTTCACGAGAAACTATTTGTTCTGTAAGCCTTCACCTGAAGTACAATAAAATATAAAAAAAAAAAAAGTTCTGAAGGAAATTAGAAGTGCTACTCCAGTGGACACACGAATAAGGCGAAACAGCCTTATTGCTCATATGCAGAAAGTTTTAGTGGTCTGGATAGAAGATCAAACCAGCCACAATATTCTCTTAAACCAAAGTCTGATCCAGAGCAAGGCCCTAACTCTCTTCAGTTCTCTGAAGACTGGGAGAGGTGAGGAAGCTGCAGAAGAAAAGTGTGAAGCTAGCAGAGGTTGGTTCACGAGGTTTAAGGAAAGAAGCCGTCTCTATAACATAAAAGTGCAAGGTGAAGCAACAAATGGCTGATGTAGAAGCGATAGCAAGTTATCCAGATCCAGCTAAGATAATTGATAAAGGTGGGCTACACTAGAGATTTTCAGTGTAGATGAAACAGCCTTATATTCGAAGAAGATGCCATCTAGGACTTTCACAGCTGGAGGAGAGAAGTCAATGACTGGCTTCAAAGCTGACTCTCTTGTTAGAGGCTAATGCAGCTGGTGACTTTAATTTGAAGCCAATGCTATACCATTCCGAAAATCCTAGTGCCCTTAAGAATTCTGCTACATCTACTCTGCCTGTGCTCTGTACACGGAACAACAAAGCCTGGGTGACAACACATCTGTTTACAACATGGTTTACTAATATTTTAAGCCTACTGTTGAGACTTACTGCTCAGAAAAAAAGATTCCTTCAAAATATTACTGCTCACTGACAATGTACCTGGTCACCCAAGAGCTCTGATAAAGATGTACAAGGAGATTAATGTTGTTTTCATGCCTGCTAACACAACATCCACTCTGCAGCCCATGGATCAAGGAGTAACTTCGACTTTTCAAGTGTTATTATTTAAGATACACATTTCATAAGACTATAGATGCCATTAATAGTGATTCCTCTGATGGATCTGGGCAAAGTAAATCGAAAATCTTCTGGAAAGGATTCACCATTCTGGTTGCCATTAAGAACACTCGTAATTCATGGGAGGCGGTCAAAACATCATCATTAACAGGAGTTTAGAAGAAATTAATTCCAACCCTCATGGATGACTTAGAGAGATCCAAGACTTTAGGGGAGGAAGTAACTGCAGATGTGGTAGAAATAGTAAGAGAACTAGAAATAGAAGTGGAGCCTGAAGATGTGACTGAATTGCTGTACTCTTACGATAAAACTTTAACAGATGAGGAGTTGCTTCTTATGGATGAACAAAGAAAGTGGTTTTTTGAGATGGAATCTAATCCTGGTGAAGATGCTATGAACACTGTTGAAATGACAACAAAGGATTTAGAATATTACATAAACTTATTTGATAAATCAGCGGCAGGGTTTGAGAGGACTGGCTCCAATTTTGAAAGAAGTTCTACTGCGGGTAAAACGCTATCAAACAGCATTACATGCTACAGAGAAATCTTTAGTGAAAGGAAGGGTCAACCAATGTGGCAAACTTCACTGTTGTCTTATTTTAAGAAACTGCCACAGTCACCTCAACCTTCAGCAACCACCACCCTGATCAGTCAGCAGCCATCACCATCGAGGCAAGACCTTCTACCAGCAAAAAGATTACGACTCACTGAAGGCTCAGATGATGGTTAGCATTTCTTAGCAATAAAGAATTTTTTAATAAAAGTATGTACATTTTTTTTTAGACGTAATGCTATGCACACTTAAAAGACTACAGTATAGTGTAAACATAACTTTTATACTCACTGGGAAACCAAAAAAATCGTGTGGCGTGCTTTATTGCAATATTTGCTTTATCGCAATGGTCTGGAACGAAACTCACAATACTTCCAACGTATGCCCGTACAGAGTCAGTGGCTCCCCTTGGAATACAGATCTACTTGGACTTTAAAACCAAAGTGACCTGTCCACACCAAGGAATGATACTGAAATCCAATGAAAGTCGGCAAACCATTGTTTTGTGACTATGTACCAATACCATAGTGGGGAAACCCTCAACGCCAACACAAATACTAAAAATAGTATCTAATCTAACTAATACATTTCCAAAAACGGACTTTCTTTACAACTCTTTAAGTGGATTAAATCAAATAAAAACTGCCTATTTATAACTGCTACTTCAGTATGGTGAACTGACATTCCTTAAAGTTTTTTTAATGGAGAAAAGTTTTAGTTCCAGACACAGAAGGCTTACCTGACTCCTCTCTTTGTCCACTTTCTTAAAACACTTATTCAATGACAAATTATGTCTCACTGAGTTTTTCCACCCAGTAGGTGCATTTGCAAAGTATGGAAAATGTTCCAAGATCCAGTTGTAGATTTCCTTCACTGGCAGGCGCTTCGTCGGGGAGTCCTCGATGGCCATAAATATGAGGCAGCTAAAGGAATAGGGGGGTTTACAGTTGGGGTTCTGCCTGGCATCATAGGGCATGTCCGAGTGGGCAGGGGATGGAGGGGTGTCATCGTCCAGGTCCTGGACGGGGCTGACGCTCCTGAGGACCGACTCCCCGAAGCTCTTCAGCAGGTTCTTGCTCTCGTGCAGCCAGTTCAGGTTGGTCAGCTCTTCATCTTCCATGGCCCCCTCTTCTAATCGGATATCAGGCAAAGGAAAGTCGAGGTCATCGTCTTCCTGAAGAGCCTTGGACAAAGAGCTACCCCGGTAACATGGACTCAGTCCACTGGAGACACTAATTCCTGAGCTTTCTGGCTTCTTACTGGGAGGCATGACTGGACCCATTTACGTGAAGGCTCCTGGGAAATACATTGGAAAGAAAAGAGGAGTTGGTAAAATCCAAAAGAGAAAGGCAGCTTGACCCCTCCTAATTTCCACAACTCCCCCTGCCATGTCTACAGACCCCACCGCATGGGAACATCACCCATGGTGCCCACACTGAGCAATATACACCCACAATTCCACCAGAGAGATGTACTACCAAGGTAAACTGGCCCATACCATGTCATATAGCACAGTGACTTATCACCCCTTAAATAAGGTTAAAAATGTTTACTGCACCTTTAACGTGCAAGTGGAGTCTGGGAGTAGTGCAAACAATTAATGTACTAGGCTGCTAACCAAAAGGTTGGAGGTTCAAATCCACCGAAGGCACCTCAGAAGAAAGGCCTGAGATCTACTTCAGGCAAATCAGCCATGGAAACCCTATGGAGCACAGTTCTACTCCGACACACGAGGTCGCCGTAAGTCGGAGTCAACTCCACGGCAAATGTTTATGTGCTAATGCATTAACAAAAAGAATGGAAAATTTCACAATGCCTTCTTTCTAGATCTATGAAGACTCACTGTGACTCTGGGAAAGTCAGTTACTTCTTGGTACCTCAATTTTCCCACCTATAACACATGAATATATACACAGAAAAATTCTTACAAGCCTCATGATAAACATTACAAATAAGCGCAATGCACAATTCCTGCCACCTTAGTGCTGTTACGTCTCATTGTTTACACACGCTGATCCTTCTGGGGAAAAAAAGAAAAAACTGGAAGTTTCAAGCCAGTAGTTTCAGATTAAGTTCAGCTGTTTCCATTTGAAAACCATCGCAACTGCCTTGGAATTAAGACTGTGGTCACCGTGAGTATCGGTTTGGTATTGTTTTATTTTTCTCCCCCCCACTAAAGTCATGACCAAAAATTCTGCAACTTTAATTCCATCTGGCAAACCCACAGAGCAATGACCAGGAATTCTGTGGAAACGAACTGGAGGAAGAAACACATTTAATTTTGCTAGGACGCTACACTCAACAAAAACGCTAGTAAATTCAGGCACCACACGAGCAAGTGAGATTGTGAAGAGATGCCATTAACCAAAATTAAAACAGGTGAAAAATGTCAGAAGTACAACTGGCAGCTTCAGGACAGAAACGCAAGTGCAACAAAAATTGCTTCAGAATTCTCTTCTCACCCTCAATCTCCTGCCTCCACCCCCATTTTTATCAATGACCTAGAACAGGATGTAAAACAGTATCTGATGAGAACAGAAAATGAATGAGGGGGTGGCAAAGCCCACAGACAGAATGATCTGTGCAGATACAAAGCATGGTCAACTGTCCAGCATCCAACGGAAGATTCAAAGAATAGTAAAGATAATGAAAAAGGTCTCCTACTCTCTGGTTGTACCACAGAAACAATGTGCTTGGTTTAAGAAGTATGTCTGTAGGTTTTTGGTTGTTTGTTTTTCTCTGAGACGATCAAGCAATCTATCTAGAGAAAAAAATAAATAAACCCATCAAAAGCAAAGGCATGATCACTCCAAGGCTCCAAAATTCTATTATTAACAAGGTGTCTACAAGAACTGCCACTTCAGGTATGGAAGCTCTAGAATGAAATTCTAGAAAGTGAAATGAGGACAACTGAACAGTCCGCCAAGGGTGCCCATGAACCGCAGCACCCTCACTCTTTAAAAGGTAGACAAATACCACGCAACAATAAAGAACAACGGTGAATCTGTGTAACATCTCACAACATGGGTGAATCTGGAGGGCATTATGCTGATTGAAATAAGTCAATCACAAAAGGGCAAATATTGTATGAGTCCACTATTATAAAAACCCAAGAAAAGGTTACACACAGAAAAAAAAACAATCTTTGACAGTTACGAGGGAGGGGAGGAGCGGAGAGAGGAAATCACTAACTAGATAGTAGACAAGCGTCAACTTTGCTGAAAGGAAAGACAACATACAATACAGGGGAAGTCACCACAATTTGACCAAGGGAAAGTCATAAAAGCTTCCTAGAACACACCCAAACACCTTGAGGGACCAAGTTACTGGGGCTGAGGGCTGGGGACCATGGTCTTGGGGGACATCTAGGTCAACTGGCATAACATAGTTGGTAAAGAAAATGTTCTACATCATACTTTGGTGAGTAGCATCTGGGGTCTTAAAAGCTTGCGAACCGCCGTCTTAGACACGTGGATTGGTCCCATCCCATCCAGAGTAAAGAAGAATGAAGAAAATCAAAGACACAAGGAAAATATTAGCCCAAAGGGCTAAAGGACTACATGGACCATAGCCTCCACAAGCCTGAGTCCAGAAGAACTAGATGGTGCCTGGCTACCACAACCAAACACTCTGACAGTGATCATCACAATAGAGGGTCCCAGACAGAGCAGGAGAAAAATGGAGAAGAAAATTCAAATTCACAAAAAAAAGACCAGACTTACTGGTATGACAGAGACTGGAGGAACCCCCAAGACTATAGCCCCTGGACACCCTGCTAACTAAGAAATGAAGCTACTCTCAAAGACCACCTTTCAGCCAAAGATTAGCCAGGCCTATAAAACAAACAATAACACATGTGAGGAACATGCTTCTTAGTTCAAGTATAGGAGACCTAATGGGCAACACCTGCCCAAAAGCAAAGACAAGAAGGCAAAAAGGGACAGGAGAACCGGGGGAATGAACATAGGGAACCTGGGTTGGAAAGGGAAAATGGGAGAGTGCTGACACATTGTGGAGATTGCAACCAATGTCACAAAACAATCTGTGTATAAATTTTTTAATGAGAAACTAATTTTCGTTGTAAACTTTCACCTAAAGCACAATAAAATTTAAAAAAAAAAGTTAGACAAACAAAACCTGCTCACGAAAGCCTACTGGGGAGCCCACTGGAGCAGCTGTGATTCACAACTCGAAGGAGAGGAAACTTCTGGTGGGACCACAAGTCAGCATAGGGCCAAGCCATCCAGAAACCTCACGTTCATCCACAAGGGATGTTTTTTTTAATTTCTTTTTTTTTTTTTTCTAATTGTTGCGCTTTAAGTGAAAGTTTAGAATTCAAGTTAGTCTCTCATACAAAAATTTATGCATACATTGTTTTGTGACTCTAGTTGCTCTCCCTATACTGTGACAGCACACTCTTCCTTTCCACCCTGGATTTCCCATGTCCATTCAACCAGCTCCTGACCCTTTCTACCTTCTCATCTGGCCTCTGGACAGGAGCTGCCCATTTAGTCTCATGTATCTACTTGAGCCAAGAAACACACTCTTCATGAGTTTATCATTTTATGTCCTATAGTCCAGTCCAATCTTTGCCTGAAGAGTTAGCTTCAGGAATGGTTTTAGTTTTGGGCTAACAGAGAGTCTGGGGGCCATGTCTTCTGGGGTCCCTCCAGTCTCAATCAAACCATTAAGTCTGGTATTTATTTACTAGAATTTGAGTTGTACACCCCACTTTTCTCCTGCTCTGTCAGGGACTCTCTGTTGTGTTCCCTGTCGGCGGTCATTGTGGTAGCCAGACACCATCTAGTTCTTCTGGTCTCAGGCTGATGAAGTTTCCAGTTGATGTGGCCCTTTCTGTCTCTTGGGCTAATACTTTCTTTGTGACTTTGGTGTTCTTCATTCTCCTTTACTCTAGGTGGGTTGGGACCAATTGATGCATCTTAGATGGCCGCTCACAAGCTTTTAAGACCTCAGACACCACTCACCGAAGTGAGATGCAGAAGATTTTCTTAAAAAACTTTGTTATGCCAATTGACCTAGATGTCCCCTGAAACCATGGTCCCCAGACCCCTACCCCTGCTACTCTGTCCCTCGAAGTGTCTGACTGTATTCAGGAAATTTCTTAGCTTCCACAAGGAATATTTTTTGTGTCAAACGAGGAGGCTTCTTTTTAAAGAAAACATAAGCTGGTATCTTTAGATTTAGGGATATGACAAAGTGCAGCTCAGTTTGCTTTTAACTTCTTCATGGACACAGCAAAGCCTGGCCTTGTCTCTCTCACAGTTTCCTCAGATCCCATCAGAAAACCTAATTGTCTGATAACCAGGAATATCCCCCCAGAGAAGAGTACAAATGAGAACTACCAAGCCACTGAAGTCAACTTTAGCTCCAAATGAAAGTTTTATGTCTTCTAAGCTTCCAAACAGGAAAATTATATCATGGCTGACAGTAAAGTAATTTAATTGCACTGTTGCTATGACAACCTGCTGCTCTCTCTTTTTAATTCGCTTATTTGTCAGTAGCTTACCAAAGGAACTAACGCACTATTCTCCATGTTTTCTTTTGTTTTAAACAAACACTGGCAGCAATGCGGTTCTATTGGAAAAATGGCATTGTCAAGAAAAGAGGATCACTTGCATCATCTCTGTTTCTGTTTTAGCCCCCCCATGCCAACTGTTAACGGCACCCCCATAAAACCCGCATTTTATAACAGTACAAAGAGCTGCTGATCTCTACAGTTCCATTTAAAAAGCAGTTCCCAGAAACCACAGCTGAGGAGTTTTCCATTATTATACTCCACATAATTCGCCAAATCTTCTTTCCTCCAATTTTACAGGGGAAAAAAAAGTCCGGGTCACGTGAGTCTGCAGTTAAGCAAACATTTCTTAATCCGCTGCCAATAAGGTTTCTCCACTAGATACATAAATGCTACTCACTGGTGACCTCCTCACCACTTTTCCGTTTGTTACCGGTTACATTCCACACACACCCACACACACACACCCTCTTCATTTTTTCATGACTTGCTGTGTGTTGTTTTTTGTTTTGTTTTCATTTTCACGGAGAAAATGCAGCAGCAAAGCTAGTTTTTTGCCTGCTGTTAGAAGGTCTCCAAATAACTGACAAAGACATGATTGGCCCAGCTCTCAGCAGATGTTCGATGTGAACTTTCAGAAAGTTGAGAAATCCTGCCCGAGACGGGCTGGGCAGCCGGTTTGTAGGGCGGGTATACCCCCCCGCGCGCACGCGCGCGCGCACGCAAAAACCCCACTCGCGTCTACTGTACTTGTCAAAAA